CGGAAGAATATTTCTGCTGGTCCCTCTTTAAGTGAAATTTGTTAATTAACTTTTTAATAATTAACGATAGACGTGAAATTCCCATTAGAAACCTACTGAGCGTCGTCAAAATATTATAGAAACATATACCTTTCCGTCACAAAACGCTCCATTTAGACGCGTTTTTAGGTTTCGGTTCCTTATCGGAGCGGATCTCCGCGCCCGCGGTCCTGCTCACCAGTGGCTGAGACGCGCTGCACTCGTGCGCACCAATTCTCTTCATCCTACGAGCTTTTATAAGAAGCCGAAGGCTTGAAGCGCGTCAAATCGGCGTTCTTTTTTTTGGCAGAACGTCATAAATTAGCAACAATAAGTAAATTAACAATTTAGATTCAATTAGCCGCCTGATCGTTACGATTGGCCACCTATACAACGTCCCCGTAAACGTAAAACTCACCTGCAAAAACCGGCAGAAGTGTAGTTTTTAAGAATTTTTTCGAAAACAAATATGTAACGCTTCAAAAAAGCGTCCTGCATGTGTGTATCTGTCACGTTCGCCCGGTCCGACACGCGAGATGATCGAGACAAGACCAGGAGGGCTATGTTGCGCTTTTTGCACTCCCAGGAGACTTGGAAGAGGGAAGTGACGTCAACGACTACAGCAAACGCAGATTGGATGTTGACAGAAGAAAACGAAATCAACACCCAATCTCCGTTTGCTGTGTCGTTGACGTCACTTCCCTCTCCCTAGTCTCCTGGGAGTGCAAAAAGCGCAACATAGCCACCCAGGTGAGACAAAGGCATGTGCATACGTAATAAAATAATGAAAGGAAATCAAGAGGTAGTTATCAAACAGTAAAGAAAGAAAAGGAAAAGTTCAAAGCAGACCGGAGTCCCCGTGGTCGAGTCCGCACAAAGGCTCGAATCACGCCTGCCGTGGCGGGGCTTCAGAAGCGTGGCGGGGCTCGTCGTGGCCTCAGGAATCGGAGCGTTGCCGGGTTCTTCGTGGCTTGAGAAACCGTAGCGTTGCTGGGCTCCCAGGAGCTGGAGCGTTGCTGGGCTCTCAGGAACCGGAGCGGGGCCGGTTTCGGTGAGGCTTCAGAAGCCGGAGCGTGGCCGGGGTCTCAGGAACCGGAGCGGGGCCGGTTTCTGTGAAGCTTCAGTAGCCGGAGCGTTGCCGGTTTCAACAAGCGACGGGTCGGAGCTCCCGTACCTGCCCGTCGTTTCTCGCGATCCTCTTCTTCCTCTCTTCTCTTCTTTCTCTTCTTTTCTTCCCAGCTTCACACCCGCGACAATGCCCCCCAACTTTCAGAAGTTTATCGTTGAACTTCTTCTACACCGTTAATCTTAAAGTCCATTGCTGAATTCTCGGACTGACGGTAATTCCTGCCGGCACTTGCGGAGCATTCAATAGAGAGTTTTAGTATACCGTTTTCATCTTCCGCTCCGCTCTGAGGGTGCCAAACTGCGCATGCGCGGCCCGCTTCGCCGGAATGGAAAGCGGAGGTCCAAAAACGCGTTTTAGTAGAGCGTTTTTCTTCAGCGTAAGAGCGTTTTGAGCGGGTTCGAAAAATTTGCTTGCGTAGCCCCACAACTGGACGTTTATGGTACTAGTAAGACAAAAAAACCTAAGCGTTAACACCGAAAGAGTAAAAGGGAGCGTGATTATAGAGGTAGTAAAAACGAAGGCGACAATATTGAGCACAAAAGAGTAGGCACACACCTGAAGAAATATTAAGCTATAAAATATAAATATAATCGTTCCACCTTGTGTGCGAGTGAAGCCGAAGGTATAAGCATGAGCATGTTGCTCTAAACAGTGCTTGGACTGCACGAGCGCGCGTGCTTATCAAGGACGCTGAAAGGCCGGCACTCGCTCTTGTAGCTTCTGCTCCACTCGAATTAAAACTAAAACAGATTTACTTATTCGAAGTAGAAAAATAAAAGAAAAGGACGAAGTTTGCGCATTGGGAGTACATCCTTTTGCGTAGTACGAGTACAGTGTTGCTCAAGGCTATAGCAAGGCAACTGCACGATGAATCCCCGCTGTTCTCAAGGAAGGAGACTTCTACTAACCAGATTAAGATGGCGAGACATCGAATCTATGATTCGCATCCCTCGTGCCATCAAGCGCCGAAGCTTCCTTTCCGAACGCGGTTTGCTGGATATTTCCAACGTAGAAAAGAAACCCTTTAGGAAGCTATCCTGCTTAAAGAAGGACCTGGCTGTTCTGCATGCGAGCCTCCAAATACCAGCACCCGACAGATCGGCGCAGGGTGTTGCCAATCTGGCGAGACGCTTTGCATGGTTCTTCCTCGACTGGCCTATCCCAACCGTCTGTTCGTACTTGGATGAGCGTTTGGACGGAACTTGTCGGTGTTCTTCAGTTCTGTGAACCTCATCGTGGGTCACATCAACGAGAGGTTCGGCCACCTGCTCGCTGACATGAACAAACATAGGTGGTTGACCCTGGCGAAACTAGAGCTGTGCTCACAGGTGAGACCCTGCATGGTTTGTGTAAATTTCGCGTTTCCATTGTTTTTAGCACAGCTGCTCTGTCTGGTGAAAAGTTACTTTTTTCTATATGCCCAAGGTGTACATGGGCAGTGTCAGGAGAAGTCACGACGAGCGCGTTCGTAATCTATGAGTATTAGTAGGCCACTTTTATGAGCCGTCTTTGCTCTACTTTACGCTCTGCGAGAAGCATCGTCCCCACCGCGCATGCGTGGCCCGCTCTGAGTTGGAGCGTAAAGTTAGCGGAGTGAGCGTGCGCTCCGCTTCACAAGTTGTAGAGCGGACTGCCCTCAGCGTCCTTAGCGTGATCGCTTAGATCTCAAGATGGTGGCACTTACTCAATACGCGTCGATGTTTTTGACCGTGACCACAGCTTGAAAGAGGTCGAATCAAGAAGTAAAGCGTACGCCCCGCGCGTAAAAAGTAAACCATTCGATTTGAGTTATGTAACACAAAACAGCATAATCAAACGAAGTGAACGAGTATCACTTTGCAACCAGCACGGCGTCGGTAAAGTCGTCGCGTTTTGTGGACGGCCTATGGCTATGCGGTCAGATGTACGGGTGCGCGTGCTTGAACGACGATTATATCTGTGCATGCGCCCTCCTGTCGAAAATGCCACTGAAAGCTGACCACGAGCATAGCACTCGCAAGCTGCACCAAAGAAACCATTCCTCTCAGCTTTATTTATCCACACTCGCTCCCAACTTTTGAATTGTTTAACTTTCCTCAAGAAATGTTTGCGTTGGATTTCCTTGGTAGATTTAGAAAATAATAGAAACTTGAATGCAGCCCTTTTAAAAGTGCAACCCATGGTGCCGCTAGTCTTCGAGGCCGCCTTATTTTGGCCAAGTGTCTAGAGGGCAAGAGAGCTACGTCATTGTTTGTCGCGGATGCGAGTCTAAATGTATTAGACACGAATGCTGCGTCAATACTGAATATGAAATGGGTTCTAGTCACAAGTCTCGCACTAAAAGCGATGCCCAAAATATGGCGGCCGAATATGTTACCCGGTGGTGTTTTGAAAAGAGTTATCAATAACGGTCGAAAGAATATTCCACGTCAATTTTTTGTCTGGTGAAAACTAGACAGGCATAAACAATGCAAAATTTGGCAAACACAACCCTGGACTTCTAAGCAATAGTGGTAGATTAGGACAGTTTTCAGAAGTTTCGTTTTGAATTCCGGCGTAGCGGGCCTCGCATGCACAGTTTGACGGCCTCAAACCTCAGCAGAATTAAGAAACAACTATATATATATATATATATATATATATATATATATATATGTTATATTCTGCGCCGACGCGGCGGTGCTCTAAAGCCTGACTACATTGGACGCAAGCGCCGGTGACTTACGTTCGACGTAGCCGGGAAACTACATGCCCCGAGCGGACCTGGACGGTCGCCGGAGCGAGAAGAAAAGACAACCAACGGATTCAGGAGCGGGGCGAACACTGGCCGATGAGGCCGCAGATCACGCGCGGCTCATGCCGTCGCGTGCTGTCCTTTTTTATTGTTTTACATGGATGCACGAGATGGCTACTTTAAAAAGGAGATGTCAAGTAGCACCATCTCGTGCAAATCAAAATACTACATTCTCCCTCCCTTAAAAAAAAAAATAAGAAATTTGTGGGAGGAAGACTTACGTTATACATTCGTTATGTGAAAAAAAAAATAACGAAAATCAAAACACTTCACCACCCGAAAATTGCGTTATTTCACTGGAAATATTGGTTTTAAAATTGTTCGTTGAAACAAAAAAACAAAAACAAAAAATATGAAATTCGCAAAAGATTGCTCATAAACGTTCTTTGTGTGCACGACACGGAAAATTCAACAAAATCCTAAACAAGTCATCCGAACAAAACGGGTTTTCACTGAAAGTTCAGGTTGCATCATACTAGTCACGTGACGATCAAAATTTCATTCCAAGAGTCATATTTCAACTTAGAGCACTCTCATCTCTCCTCCTCCTGGGAAGAAAATGAAACATCCAACCATACCTATTTTAATGTCCATGACACATTGTAGTGTTGACTGTTAGTTTGTTAGTTTGGTTATTGTTTAGAATATTGTGTTTGTCATGGACATTTTTACCTTGGCCAAGGTTTTGCTATAACAGTGATATGCTTTTAACGTTCTATATCTACCTAAAGTTTATACCAAAAATGACCTTTTACGAAAACATAACTACAAAAGTCTTAGTCACTGTACTCCGAATCTGACTGAAAACTATCATCGCCAAGTGCAAGAATATAGTCTTTGAACTTCAGCGGAAGTCTTCTTTGGCGTATTGGCCGACCTTGCCTCGCTGGCGGTAGAGGAGCTGTAGATGGCTCGGAGATCGTGGGTGGTGTGTGGCGCGTCTGCCAGGGAGACGGGGGTGGTGTGTGGAACTCGGTCGTGAGTTCTTCCACTGAATCCTCAAGTGGAGGCATAGGTGGCGTACTCGTTCCCGAAGACTTTAGGTGTGGTCTCTTCAGAGACCGATGAAGCAGGAGACGGGTTCTCCGCAAATGAAGGTCTGGAACTTGCCGCTGGTCGAGAACCAGGGACTTGCGATGCTTGACAGGACGACGCGGTGAACGGTCGTCGCTGCGGGTTGGGCATGGGCCTCACATCCCGCTGTGATGCTCCTCCTCCGTGAGCTGCATTCGCATACAAACACTCATGTTTAGCGCCATTCAACACCAGTTGCAACTCACGGACCGCGTCGATGCCGAGTAACGAACGTCCAGTCTTGGTTACGTAAAACTCCAACGTTGTCCAGCGGTTCTTAAAATTTACTTGTCCCACAAAACATCCAAGTACCGGAATGGTCTCTTGCAAATAGTGGACGAGAGGCGTCGACGGCGGATGTAACTTTATCCTCCGCTGCTTGTTAACTTCGTTAAACATGCGTTCATTTAGGATCGACACACATGAACCGGTATCAACAAGAAGACGAAGAGGGGTCCCATTTACCGTGATCTCGGCCATGAAGGCGTCACGACGCATGCTGCCGCCTTCTCGTCGCTCGGCCGTCCCGACGACCACAGGTTCCTCCGTCAGCCTAACGCTTGGCAGCTCCTCAGGAGACAGCGACTGGCCGACCACGTTCACCCGGCCGGGCCGGTCCCCTCTGAACTGTCTGTCGGCGAAGGTCCGCCGAGTACCACGGCCTTGAACCGGGAACGATGCCTGTCGCCGATCGTAGGTGAAGGCAGCCGCCGGCGGGCGACGACTCCGACACGCCACTGCAAAGTGTCCCCACTTTCCACATAAGAAGCATGTCGCTTGAGACGCCGGGCAAACCGCTCGATCATGACGGCGGCGTCCACAGAAGTAGCAGGCGTCGTCTGCTCCGATCCCACCCGTCCGAGGCGGAGCGGGCTCACGCCCACGCTGAGGCTGGAACACCCTCGCCGGAAAACGGGGCACGTGACCGGAGGCCACCGGAGCCCAAGGCATCCTGGGTCCAAGCTGCGACGGGGGGTAGCCAGGTTGAGGCCAGGGAGGGTAGCCGCTGCAGCCATCTTGCCCATGCTCGATGAAAGAAGACGACGCTTGGCCGCCATCTTGTGTTGCTGCCGTTTGACGTTTCTCGATCTGGACTTCTGCCGCGACCGGGACTTGCGACTCTCGCCGCCGAAAACTTGCGGCCGTCTTCGCTCTCTGCTCGTACTGGCGAGCGATCTGGATAGCCCGCGACAGCGTTGGCAGCTCGCTGCCCTCGCACTCCTGCAGAACGCGATCCTGAACGCGTCTGGACTCCAGGCCTTCCAAGAAAACCTCGCAAAGTCTTTCATCGAGCGCGTTCCCCAGAGCACAAAACGAAGCCTGATGGCGCAACACGGCAAGAAACTCAGTTACCGACTGGCCAGGACGTTGGAACAAACCGCGCAGCTTCTGGCGTTCAAGCGCGATACTACCCGAAAACTCAAAATGCTTCTCGACTGCCTCCAGAAAAACCTGGAACTCGTCAGTCCCCTCCACCGCAACCGTCTCGTACAGCTGAAATGCATCCACGATGCGCTGGCCCTCAGTGCCCAACAGCGAAAACAGGATGGCTTTTTTTCGGAACGGTTCTACGAGATGCAACGCCGACGCGTCAAGAAAAGTCAGAAAAGCACGCTTCCATGCCGGCCAAGCTACTATCGGCGGACCGGGCACTGCCAAAAAGACAGCCGGCGGCGGGAACGCCGTTGGGCCGCTCGAAGACGAAGATGACGAAGTCATCTCACGATGAAAATGGAACGTACTGAAAACCTAGGCCTAATGCCTCCCCCCGAAACTCATCAAACGCGGCCTTTCCGCAAAATATGACTACCGTTCACCCGGAACAAAAAGGAACACATTTCATGAATACAGTTACGCGCCGGTTTCCTCAACCACTGACCCGCGACGCGGAGTGAAGCCCCCTCCCGAATCCCGGGTTACAAAAGAGGAAATGCTACATATTAAAACAAATATCCCATCCTCGTCGCCAAAATGTTATATTCTGCGCCGACGCGGCGGTGCTCTAAAGCCTGACTACATTGGACGCAAGCGCCGGTGACTTACGTTCGACGTAGCCGGGAAACTACATGCCCCGAGCGGACCTGGACGGTCGCCGGAGCGAGAAGAAAAGACAACCAACGGATTCAGGAGCGGGGCGAACACTGGCCGATGAGGCCGCAGATCACGCGCGGCTCATGCCGTCGCGTGCTGTCCTTTTTTATTGTTTTACATGGATGCACGAGATGGCTACTTTAAAAAGGAGATGTCAAGTAGCACCATCTCGTGCAAATCAAAATACTACAATATATATATATATTAATTTACGATACCCAGTTTTTTACAACCCTACAATGGAAATACGCTTTATCTTAGAGGAGTAACAAGTCCCATATCACATGTTTTGGTATGGTGTTTAAATACTGCCGTGTTGTAAGAGTGTTTTCTTTGTCTGTTTTATTAGGCCGTCAAGGACAAGGAAACGTCAAGGACAAGGGTTTTGTTGACCGCACAGCGTGCCCATATGCCGTCCATCAAAAAAATTAGAAGAGGACCACAAGAGGGTGCTCGTCGTGAAGCACCAGGCAGTGATGTGCGCAGACGGCATAATTTGACGGCTGGACAAAACCTACAAAGACCATGGGCATTTTTTTTGTTTGTTTAATATTAGAATGCATAAAATTATCACAGTAAATCATGTTCAAGCTTTTGTACTGAGCGAAATACCTGTCCAACTCGGCTGAAAGGCATCTAGAAATATTTTAATAAAAAACGTTTACTAACGACTCCCATTTTACTTCTCAGATGTGCGTGTGAATATTGCATCTAACCAAATTACAGTGTTACTGTTGAATTCAGCATTGCAAGAGTAGACTATGTTGCGTGGCCTTCTATTGCAAGAAAAGACCGTAGCACAAGTGAGGCAGAAACTGGGCAGGAGCTTAAGCTGAAAAACGCACTTTCATAAACACACAAAAGAAATAAAAAGAAGTGTATAGTGAAGCAAAATGGTTTCATGTCACCCCCCAAGGCAGATACATACACTGCGCTCCACTGTTAATACGAACACGAAAAAAATCGCTTTTATTGCAGTTTATTTCTTTGACAGCTATTGAAAAAGCTGAAAATTTGTCGCTCAGATTGGTGCCCCAAACGAGCGCTTTATTCCACACCAATAGGCAAATGTCAGCCCCTCGAATTTAAGGTGAAAAATGAAACAGGATATTGAATGCTCCCGCTAACAGTGTCGCGCAGTGTACATAAACACCAAGGCACCATATCACAAACCGAAGCATACGAAGCAGAAAAGACTCATTTCATTGGGAAAAAAAAAGTAGAGACATAAATGGAGCACTCGCTTTCGCTAATTTTCACTGTCTTGCTGCCTGAAGTAACCAAACAAAATATCTGTCCGTTTGCCGACTGCTTTAGTCTTTGGTCTTTAACCTTTAATTTTTGGCTCTGGAGAGCTGCGGCACCGCGGAAAGCAGCAGCCCGTACCACCGAGGCCCGCGGTGCCGCGTCTAGAGAACATGGTAATGTGATGAGTATATACGTGCAAGATGACGACGACATGGGTTGTTGGTATTGGGGAGGGTGGCAGTCCGATTCGCAGAAGTCTAGACTTCGTGGAGGCGGGTTGGGCGGGTTGGGCGGGTGAGCAGCGAGCTATGAAGATCTTGCACGCCGTTCGATCAGTGCATGAAGGAGCACCAGGAACATAATGGCGCTATTGCTCACTGGGGTCCACTGGAGTCAAAGAATCATGCTCCAAGGAGGTAGTCCAGCCGAAGTAGAAGCTGCCGCCTCCGAGGAACCGAGGCCCAGGGCTCAGATTGAGACACCGCCGTCGCCCGGTGTGTCATCCTCTCAACGTCGTCGTCGTCATCTCGCATAGAAAAATCGAGCCCGCTGGCTTAGACAAGGCAGCACCTGTTCCCACCGTTCAGGGGCCGTAAAAGGATTGCGGCCAGCGATTTCTCGAAGCAGCCAGAGGTTCTTGACTACCGTGAAACGTTTTCTGGGGGACGCCTTTTCAAACAAAGTCTGCGCAGCTTCTTAGTGCAGCGAGGTTCATAAGGGTCAAGCGCGCTCCCAAGCATGATTTCAAATAGCGAGCACCCACCTTTCCAGAAAAGCACCATCTAGTGAACCTTTACCGAGAGTGGAACGTACTTCTCAAAATGGCGACGATAGCGGAGCTGACGCTCCACGCTTAAATCCCAGAGCGGGTCGCGCATGCGCGATGGCGACTCCGCTTTCCATAGAGCGGAGCGGGAAACCGAAAACGGTCTACTAAAACTCTCTAATCTTGGCCTGGGCGATCTCGAGCCTTGGCAAAGACCGCATCCGTTCTCGTAGCACTCGCACGCGCAGCACCAGTCCACACTCTTGACCGCCCCCGATGCAACATAGTTCCTTCATTTCACGCTCACGCACAAAGTACGAAAAAAAAATTATGCGTGAAGAACTTCGAAATAAAACTCGATTCACACTAAATTGCGTCCTTTTCCCCCCTCAAAAAAAAAAAAAAAGAACCGTGTCTGCACTTCGAAACGTACCAATCGACTTGGGACAAAGTACGGCGTACCAATCGACTTGGGACAAAGTACGGCGCCTTCTCGATGAGCGACGAGCCCTCTACAAAGAAAGATTGGGTTGCGAAGGTGAGAGGACAGATTAACGACGCTGAGACGAATCGGTGGAGAGCCGACATAGAAGAACATTCCAGCATGCACCTATACGCGACTTTCAAGACCAACATCGCAGCCGTCCGCTGGTGTGGAAACACACTGGGCAGCCGACTCCTTGCCGAGGCCCGCGGTGGTGCCTTACGCACCCGCATCTACAGGCATGGGTACGATGTGAACGTGACCGAAACCGTGTGCAGTGCATGTGGTGAGGTAGAAGAAACTATCCAACATTTGCTCCTTGAGTGTCCGGCAATCGTACCTGTGACAGACGTCGGCACCCGCATTGAGCAGGCCCTCGGTTTTAAGGAGGAGAACAAACATGTGATGTGCTCAAAGAGGAGGCTCGAGGCATGGTGGAAAGTCCACTCGTGATACTTCAGAGTGCCTACGAACCATTTCTCAGACTTTCTAGTTCCTTTTCAGTATCTTTCTCTTTATCTTCTTTTTTTAATGGCATGTCTATTTTATAGACGCTCGTTAAAAAGGGCAATTGCCGCCAGAAATACATACATACATACATACACTTCGAAACCAGTAACTCGATCCCCGTATTACCCCATGCGCTATCAAGCAAGAAAACAAATAGGCACGAGGGCATTCTAACTCTAAATTCCTTATTTACATCCGACTTAAGTGGTCTGCACCTACATTATCCTTCCCCTTAATATATTGGACATGAAAACTGTAGTCTTGCATCTTCATACTCCATCGCATGACTCGACTGTTTGTATGTTTAGCCTTATTTAAGAATTCCAACGGCTGGTGGTCAGTTTGCACTCGGAAATGCTTGCCATACAAATATAGTTCAAACTTTTCAACGGCCCAAACTAGTGCCAGGCATTCCCTTTCAATCGTGGCATAGTTCTCTTCCGCTTTGCTTAACCATCTGCTTGCGTACGCGACAGGGTGCAGTACGCTATCTTTTTCCTGTAGAAGGACTGCTCCCAAACTGACGCTTGAGGCGTCTGTACGTAGCACAAATTCCTTGTCTAGGTCGAGAGCCATGAGGATGGGAGGTTTACACAATTCCTCCTTCAGGCGCTTGAATGCCCTTTCCCGCTTGTCGTCCCACTGCACCTCGTTGCGAGTTCCCTTTTGGGTCAACACTGTCAGAGGAGCCGCCACCTCTGCGTAGTTAGGAATGAATTCCCAGTATGATCCAGTCAAACCCAGGAAGGGACTGACCTGTCGTTTTGTTGTCGGCCTTCGCGCCTTTTGGATCTTCGTCAGGATCTCCTGTCTTAGGGCTACTTGGCCTGATCCTAATCTTTGGCCGAGAAAGCTGATTTCGTGAAATCCAATTTCACATTTTTTTGGCTTGACTGTGATCCTTGCATCGCGCAGCCTTCCGAATATAGCCTTTAGTGCATCTATGTGCTCCTCCCACGAGTCCGTTGCCACCAGAACATCATCGATATAGTGGTGTGCATTCGGTATGCCTCTTAGTAAGATCCGCATCAGCTTCGGGAAAGTCGCGGAGGCTGTCTTTAAGCCGAACGGCATGAATCTGAAATGATACAGACCGCTCAAAGCTGAGAACGCTGTTTTATGCTTCGATGTTTCTGTCATGGGGATCTGCCAATATCCTTTGGCTAAGTCTAACTTTTTGAAGAAAGGTTTACATCCCACTTTAGCAAACATGACATCTACCCACGGAATGGGCTCGGCATCGGCTACCAACACGTCATTTAGCCACCTAAAGTCAATGCAGAATCTGCTGGACCCATCTGACTTCTTCACTAATATTATAGGCGCGTTGAATGGTGATGCTGATCTCTGAATCATTCCCAGCCGCAACATCTCTGTTATTTCCTTTTCCACTGTTTCGTGTACCTTTATCGGCAGAGGGTACTGTTTAACATGCACTGGTGCCTGAGTTGCCAGCTTCAGATCGCACTCAATCAAGTTTGTTTTTCCGGGTAGATCAGAGAAGATTTCTTCGAATTCTCCAATCAAAGTCGCAACTTGTTTCTTCTCCTCTGTACTCAGGGCGGTATGCACCAGTACGTCTTGCCCGTTTTGTTGTCTTGTCAGGGACAGAGTCGGGACATCGTCTATGGCGTCTTCCTCGTCCTTTTTGTTGTCATCGTCAGTTGCTGTTGCCGCGCTGCCCCTCGGTGCCGCCGGGTCCATTTCGGTCCTCTCCATATTTTTTGAGCGCATTTACATGACAGGCTTTTCTCGTTCCGGCAATCTCCAGCTCATAGCCAACTTCATTTCTTCGTGCCGTGACGATGAAGGGACCCTTCCATTGCATGAGCAACTTGTTATTGTCGCTTGGAAGGAGGATTAGTGCTTTATCCCCTACCTTCATTTCTCGGTTGACTTTCTTC